CACGCTTTAATTGATCTACAATTAGAGCTCTATCTTCTCATCACAGAGATGATACTTCGAAGTTTTCTGGGGCGGAGAACTCGAATCTGAGCTCCACTTGCCTCAAAATCCTGTTGGTTGAGCAATAACCAATAGAAATCAAGTGTTTATAGAAAATGCTTCTCAGGATAATTTTGATGTCCACACATTCTAGGAAGACTCATCTGCCTAATTCACTTTTTGAAGTACACATAACTCTCGGATTTAAATCCGAGGTTTCCACATTTATTTCTTTTTACAAATGTCTTTCTTCGATATGGCAGCCATACTTCTGTATTCATTTTTTATGAGGAGTCCATTTTTAGTAGACAAAAGAAAAATTATTTGATAATAAAGAAAAAGAAGAGATAGTTTTTGTTGTAAACAGAAACCAAATTATAATCATATTGTACAATATCGTTCATTACACATACTCAAATGTGACAAAGAGTAAACATAAAAGTTGCCACATTTCACAATTGAAACAGAGGACAAGACTGCATAAGTTATGCCAGGTGCGTCGAAGCATACATTCTCACTAACTATTGTTTCTACACTTAGCGGTAATGCTCCATTGAACCATCCTGTTCGAAAAGCCCCACAATGATTTATGTCTAGTTATTCCAGAGGTATGGTAGCACCTTCTGTACCCATAAATCTAATCCATGTGCTACCTATTCCAGATATAGCTATATTGCGCGAAGGATCATTGAGAACTGTGTATGATGAACAAGGTGCATCACTACTAGCACCACTTTTACCAACATCATAGATCATTGATATTAATATAAACTTGTTTTTGATGTGCTGTTTTCGTTTGTTGTAGAATGAGAATCGAGAACAGTAAATTTTATGATGATCATTATAATTATTACTGCAATGAGGGTGTGGGTGTGGGTGCGGATAAACAAAGGGTACCTACAGCCACACCCACACCCATCCTCTATTGACAAAGAATATATATACACAAACTTTGTTATCCGAGGGAAAGTTCTGGAATAGGATAGATGTCAATATAATGATGATATTTGATACTTTATGGTAAAAGCAATTTAGAAAACGATGCTTTGTTTGCCTTTTAAAATTGACTTCGAAAGAATCATTCTTTTCTTAAAATTTTAAATAATCACTCGAAACACAAATCAAAATCATGTATATTTATTTGTTTTAACAAGACAACTTACTATTCGAGAGTATGGTCATTGTCCGTGGCAATCATCAAAATTACAACAGACTAGATATTAAGATTCAGTTAATCCCCGAGAATCATAATATTATCGGATTGAATTGTACGAATATTTAATAGACTCATATTCGTTGTGGAAAATTTCGTAAGATCTTGTATCTTTACGAATAAGTGAATTCCACGATCGATATCATTGTGAATTCAACCATATTTTTTGTCTCACTCATAGCATCGTTTTTCTTTTACGTAAATATATTGACCAACCGATAATAGAAAAGCTCTTGATTGTTAGTCTCCTTGGGCAATCACGATTCAACAAAATAATAACAGGCTATGGAAATATCTCAAAACCCTGACTTTTTGAAGATATCATTAAAAAAACATATTAATATGTTAATTGTCCAATTGCTTTTGAGTAAAGACTATGCATATTATGAACATCTAAATGAGCTAGCAATTCCTTGAAAAGAGTTCGTGCCATGAGCTTATTGTGGTGAAGATACTACACTTTTATGGCATTTTTTAAGACGAATGGCATCGTCCAGAAAAACTTATTTTCGAATTTTTACTTGAAACTCTTCAAAGAGACACGTTTTAATCGCAGCAGTTTATTGTGAAAGTTTTTAATCTTGTTGCTATTCCTACCATAAGATGGAACTATGGTAATAGCATGTCTATTTTTCAAGATAGAAGCAAATTGAAAGACCTAAAACTAATCTCGGTAAGGTCTGTCTCTATGCAAACTTCCAAGTCGAAATTCGACAACCAGCTTTGTGGATTGTGGCATTCATCTTAAAAAATATTGTAAAAGTGCTGTATCTCTGTAGCAATGAGCTAAGAGCACGAATTCAATTCTTTTCATAGTATTCATAGCTCATTTGGATCTATTGATTGTATCAACGAAGAATCAGTCAATTTCATGTTAGGTAAATGACTTGATCTTGATGAAAAATTTCTTCATCTTCTATTTCAAAGAGATAACATATGAATTTCTTTGACGGCAAAGTATGTTGAATTTAGGTGATATTTAAAGGTTTTTTCTTCTTCTCTTTGATCAAAGTTCAACGATTAAACTTCGATCGGAGGATCAGACAAGTTTCTTTTTTAATACACTTAAAACACATAGTCAACAAATAAATAATAAATATGATTAAAAATCAATAACCAATACTTTAATTCATGTGTAAAGAACAATCTCAGACGTAGTAAATATTCTTTTGGTAGATTCCCTCAAATGTCTTCTTCTTCTTGTAGTCTTGTCAAAAAAGTGTCCATGGAGATATTTAGTAACACTTACGACTACAGACGACGATAACGTTGGTGACATTTATTCTGAAAACGAAATTTTCTAAAAGCTTATCAAATTTTCAAGAGAATCAAAATATTTCTTGCCTTTCCAAACAGTTTACTTACACTCGTAGTTTTATGTCACATTTCAACAAAAAACGTTTCTCGAACCTATGACAGTTTTTGATAAGTGAAGGGGAAGTCGTTACGCTAGTAGCCCTTCTGCATATGAGCAAGATAGACCTTAAAAACCACGTATTCTCGTGGTATCCCTATAAAAAGAATACATGAGTAGATTGCACATCACTTCACTCTTTAAGCGCTTTATTTAATTACGATCGTTAGCTTTACGTTATTGAAGACTCAATGCGACGTAAAACTTTCGCTCAAAATCCATAGCCATCCCGCTACGTTATTCCAATTGATACCGTTGAAAATGAAAATTATTGTGAATATAATATTAAGAGAAGGTAATAATGGCGAAATAGAAATGTGTCTGTGAACATATAACACACTTTTTATATGATGAGATCTCACTGTTGACACACGATGAGTAAATAAATGGAATATAAAATATGAATCATCTTGGAAATTACCTGTTTCTATTTATCTTAACCTATGCATTGGATGTAGCTCAAACCCTCCATACAACTTCATCATTTTGCTAGATGACCCATCGATATGCACATGTGTGCAAACATTTTGCGTTCTTGTCGAGCACGATGAGTTAGACTTTTCCAAGATTAATAAGGTCAAAATACTCATACATTATCAATAAGGGTAAAAACATTAACAGGATATGGTTGAATATGCATTATTGCAACTGTGTCAGTGTGAAAGAAATTTTCCGTGAAGTGAATGATATGTTAAGTTCTTACGTAGTTTGATTATCTGAAAGATTTGTATGAAAACAAAGTGATGCGAAGCATGTTCGATCAATTGTTAACATTCGTGTCACCAAATATGGACTGTGCATAGTAATTTAATTCTTGTTATAGTCATGTTCAAACTATCAATGCTAAGTACTACAATGATTTTTATTCAAGAATCTTTTTTTTCTTTGAATACGGTAAATATCACATTCATCGCTGGCGATGATGAAGAATAGCGCCGATTTTGCTTTGCTGTATGCAGTGTGACAAGGATAAAATTTATTTCTGCAGTAGGTACGGAAAAGGAAAGTGGAACAATGAATATTAATTGCAAAGAAGACAGCGATTTCATCGTTTAAGAGGGAAAATAAAATCTTAAAGTTATAGTTCTGTCTGATTTTTCGTTTTAAAGAAAATGCCATGCGATGTCGGTATGACCATCGCCAAGTTCACCAGCCACGGTCATGAAACCATCATAAGTCAGACCGATGTTACCTAGAAGAATCCAGTAAAATTATCAATATTATGAAGTCGAATGCTTTTACCATTTTTACAATCGCGACAGCGATCAACAAATCGTACCACTATTTCACCTTTGGCACCCTTAACAATAGCTTTCTTTTGACAGATCGGATTGGTACTTGGAATACCTTCGACAGTGTATGGATCAAATTGAACTTCATTGAGAGCAGCCGTGTAGATTTTTTCATCGCTTTCATCCAATGAACGAGCTCGACTTGTACCACAAGTGCTGTACTCCGAACCAGCCATGGTCTCATTGTAATACGTCGCTTCTCCATGGAATTCGCCTTCAAGTGAAGCTGGCTCCTTTCTGGATAAGAACTTGGCGAAAGAGCAGTGAGTAGCATATGGACCACAACTAAGTTAGAAGGAATTTTTCGGTAGATCAATTACTTATATGATTACATACTATCCATGTCGCGAGCAACAGAGACCAGCGCCACAACCAGTTTGACCACAATTACCATAGCCGGTTCCTCCGCAATGGGCAGCAGTGTTTCCACAACTAAAGGATAACAATGAAGCATTATTACTTACAAGATACAGTCATTTCGCTTCGGTCTCTTACAATCCATGTGCAGAACAACACGCTCCTGCTGGACAACCAGTGCCCCCGCATTGACCACTACCGGGATTGATGGCAGGACCGCCACCACAGTGTTGTGCCGTGGTGCCACAACTAAATGAAAACAATAGCGCCATAGTTCGGAGGAAAGCATTCGATTTACGCACTAGCCGAATTGCGAACAGCATTGTCCTCCTGGACAGCCATAGGTTCCGCAACCACCCGCCACTGCACCGCAGTACTCAGCACCCGTACCACAATAGCCATATGCCGAGCAGCAGAGGCCACCTCCACAACCGCCAACCAAGCAGTTGCTAGCTACATATGAGACGAGATTGCATATCTGACGATATTCATTCAAGTTTCACCTACCAGCGCTATACACCAACGACAGCAAGACAAAGCTCACACCAGTTGCAGTAACTAACATCGTTGTCGGTGTGCTTATGATCACGTCGATGTGTAGAGTTCTGAAAGTAAACTGAAGCTCACACACTAGTTTTCTTCTTCTTCATTTAATCCCATCAGAGCTTTTTAATCCATGAAAAAATGTTAAAATAATGATAGATTGATCAGCATTCATGTCCTTAATATGCATTCATCGCCTGACATTTCAGCACATCACATAAAAAGATTCGAGTTCGACAAAAGGCTACCATGTGCTATAGATAGGGATTAGGAGCAGATTAGTCTGCTGATTAATCTCCGAATGGTGCATGTAACAATGATCTACTTAAAACAAAAAAGAGAATACTGTGTCTAAATCCTTGTTTTTCATTTGTACTTGTTATTACATGTCAATAAAGTATTCCTGACATTTCTCTATTGGATGAGAGATCAAACGGATCGACGACGAAAACAACAAAACACTCTCGCTCTCAATCGAAATAAAGACTTCCTGAAATATTACTTGGTACAATATTTTCAAAAAATTTATCAAATGTCAAAAAAAAAGTCGATCAACATAAGTATCTATATCATTCATGACGAACTGATAAAGTAGATGAAGCAGAAAATGTGCACTCTCTTTATCATGTCATGAGAAAGATGGAAAGAAAAGTCAAGTAATGACTCGATTAGAGATTATCGTCGATATTCACTACTAAGTTAACTAGGTAGTTAAACCGAAAATATATGCAAAAATCCAATCATGCTAAGTTCGAAAGGGAATTCCTAACCATTCTATTAGTAGTTGGTATCATCATGCAAAAAAAGAAGCAGGATGTCTTAGAATCGGCAAAAGTACACAAGAATGATTTAGAAATATGATTCGATTTTACAATCAAATATAACAACAAATCGATGAACGAAAAAATTGAAATGTTCGTTTGTCATAAATGGTAATAAAAACGATGCCGAAACTCGTAATTGAATTTCATGTTCGAACTTTAGAAAAATGATGAATTGATATTTCATACGATAGAACAATATAATAATACACCGCCAAAAGGAATATCGTTAAAGAAGCCGTTCATTATTATCTTCACACATCTCGGTAATGAAACAACATTAATTGTAAAAAACCATGCCCGACAACAAAAATACTTACAGTTGGACAGAAAATTATTTACGAGAGCGTAACCAATAATTTTAATGCTGATGTTAAATACGAGATGCCGTACTTGAACGAATGAAACAATAACAGAATGAATTGAACGAGGAAGGCAAATCGCCAGTCGTAGATCACGGATAATCAAAAACAAATTTGAGATTGTGACGTTCATAAATTCAGACCATTATCTTGTTTCGTAGATATCTGCTATTAGAACGAAGAGTCATTTATGCTGGAAGATTACTTCGTATCCTAACAATTTGTAAGTAATTGATGAACTTTTTCTTCTTCTGATCTGTCTTTGCTTGAAGAGGTATTTCACTACCATTTTTAACACAAATTTTTTAATTGTCTAATCTAAGAAAGATTTCTCTCGTCGAGAATACTCAAGGATGGTTAAAAATAAAATAAAAAATATTCTCGTTTCAAACAGTATCAACAGCTATTTTCTTTCTAATGATAGACTTAGCTTTCTATGCGTATAAGTTTGAATTTTCACACATGTTGTGAATCATCGATGATTGGTCATGCTGTAATCACGCTGATTGTTTGTGATTTAAAAGAAAAGAAATCTTCGCATTAATCGTTATGCAATTGTTTCCTAAAGTGAATAATGTATCTGAAAATGGAGAATTTTTTTTTATAGACAGTTAAAAGAAAAACGCTATTCTACCGTAAGTGAAGTAAAAGATGATTTAACAAAATCATTATACGAATCAGAGAGTGAAGTCTATCATTGAGAATAGTTTTTCCTGTATTACGAATCTAAAATGATGATGAAAACAGTGAAATTGATTCTAAAAACAATATGTTATAGTTTTCGTTTGAAAAAATAAGCAAAAATCCAAGAATTCTTTTTCTAGAGAGTCATGTATAAGTATGGAAAGAGAATTCGAAATTCAATATTACGACAGTATTATTTTATTGATACATCAGGGATATGTATATTTTTTGGTGGAATCCATTAGAACATTATCATTCAGAAACTAATTCACATGACAACATTAGAGAGGAAAACACCTTACGAAATACTCGGTATTTCTACAAATATCGTTTATGCTGAATTATGGGCAGTCTATCTTTAAAAAAAGCATGAACATTTATAGAAGAAAATTCCGGCCATCGATTTTCATCTTATTTGCTGTGGATATGAAATATTATGTGACTTCGATAAACGCAAACTTTATGATTCTTGGAAAGAATGAGTTTTCGAATTATTCATTGATACATACACTCCACAATAATTGACTGCTGAACCGGCTTTAATAGGTGAACTACAAGAACGACTGCGCAATACTAATTTAACGGAACATAATGCTCAAGATCCTATTGCAGGTCATACAAATCTTTTACACTCCAGCTTGTGTTGGTAATGTTGAAGCAGCAATATTTTTAACTGAACAAGAAGCACGACCTGATTTATCACAATGAGGAAAAAATACTGCAATGCATGCTGCTGCTTTTTATGGACGTGTTGACGTTGTTCGTTGTCTTTTGGAAAATGGAACCAATTTCCGAATAAAAAATAAAGCTTATAATACAGCTGAAGATGAAGCATATAATGATGATGTAAAAAAGGTATTTACTGAACTCAAACAAATCACTTAAATTCGAGCGACTGAAAATGAACTCGATTGATTTCTGAAGAATAAATTAACACAACATCAAACATTATTACATTGTGCTAGTAAGAAAGGCTAGTGTGACCTATAGTACATTGGCTTGTAGAACAACGTAAGGCTAGCATAGATCTCATTGATTTCAATGGAAATACATCATTACATCTTGCTGCTTATGGTGAACATACAAGTATTGTTGATTATCTTGTTAACCATGGTTGTGATCCAACTGTTAAAAATCGTTGGGGTATAACAGCTGAAGAAGAAGGCAATAAATATAGTAATAGTATTACTGATATATTCAAACGTATGTGTGAACGTGACATGTTTGAAATGGCACGAACTGGTGTACACTGATGGTTTAATTATTATTTTAATGATAATTCAAAAGATCTATGTGATTCTAATGGTATAAATTTATTATTTATTATATTATGCATGTCGTTATGGGCAATATTCTGTTGCAAAATGGTTATTAGAACATTGAGCTGGTGTTAATATTCAAATGAAAAATAAACCAATAAGTACTTCATTACATGTAGCGAAATTTCGTGGTCGTGTTTTAATTGTTGACCTTTTACTTGAATATGGTACAGATGTTAATACTAGAATTGATTTCGAAGCAAATATCTTCGAAGATGACATATCAGAAGAAGTAGTTAAAGACTCATCAAGTAAAATTTAAAAAGTCTTACTACAATATCAACGTAATTTAATAAGCTATAAACTGATTGATATACATGTGTATGGTAATAATGATGAACCAATAGTAAAAATTAAAGTAGAACTTTCATTCAACTATCAGGATTTATTAACAGAACTATCTAATGTCTCAAATGATCAATATCCTTATTTTTTTATTACTCGACGTGCACTTTTTTTCGAGAAAAATAATACAACTATTATATCAGCTGTAGATTGTTCATGATATGCTTCTTCGAAATTTATTGATACACCAATTTGTCTTGTTCATGACAAAACGTTACCAAATGGATATAAAAGTCATCAATCAATTTATTAAGAACCTATAGTAAGTGTTCGAAGCATCTATAAGAAGTTCACATCGGAAAGTAAAACAAATTCGTAGGAATTGAAAGCTCCATTAGCGACAAAAAGAATATTCAAATTGGTAATTTAATGTTTAATTTCTTTGAGAGTTCAATGTAACAGCAATTTCTCACACCTGATCCTAAAACATTAGAGATCCCTGGATGTATTTGTCTCTTTCAAGCTGAACTGAACTCATCTACTACCTCACTTGTTGAACTACCTGCCGTATCCATGATTGACAAGCCGAACGCTCTTTTGTACACTTTGGTGCAATCTTCATCATTCTGGTTTAATTCTAACACTCGTCGAAGTCTTCTACCTATAATTAGTGGTATTTATGCATTCGTACTTCATTTTGATATTATCCCAAATCACCTTACGTTACCAGCAGATATGTTTATTGCAGCTACTCTTGAACGACCATTGATATCAAGAGATAAACCTGTGCCCTGCAGATATTTAGTTCTTCGCAAAAATGATTCTAACATGTTTCCACACATAGCTTATCATGGAACGACTATTAGCGCCATTCAATCTATCCTTCATGATAGACTGGCCATACCAGGCATGGTAACAACCAGCGGAAAACGTATTAATCCACTAAAATATTAGATTGCACGCGACAAAACAGTTTTCGGTTTTTCTAATTTTGCTTCTGTTATTTTTCTAAGTCTTAGTGTGCACTATAGCTCGGATCCAACATATGAAAAATCATTTTCTCATGGCGATCAATTACTGGCGCCTGTAATAGAAGACGGTTAATGATCCAAAAAATATTGAAATCAATGCAATAGTGTTCATTACAAAGATTAAATCGATTGATGCAGCAAAAATGGAACGAATTATTAGAGCACTTCTCTATTTCAAACTAATAGAAGAGCGAATACTTTTGAAATGATTTTTGATAAGAACTAGGTAGAGATCTACGTTTTTCGCTGTTGAAAAGGGAAGATGGAACGGTATCAAACCATAAATTTACATAATTTGTTAAACTCTAGTTAATGATGCTTACGCACTACTGAAAATTGAAATTCTAAAATTTTTACATTGCACAATATTTTGATTTTGAAAAACTAGGCAAGAAACCCTGGGAAAATTTGTCAGAAAATCTGGTATTCTAGATTCAATGCAATTTTATCTCCTCTTTTGAACAGCGAAAATCGTAGATTTCTATCTCCTTAGTTCGTGTTAAAAATTATTCTAAAATTATTGACCAATAATTTATTTTGAAATTAGTTATAGTCAATTTGTCTGACATCATATAAACTTAAGAACAGAAGAATATTTTGCAGTTCATTTAATTTCTTGGTACAAATTTTCGAATATTCAAGAAAAGCAATTAAATTTTTTAAATTATGTTTTTTTTTGTTAAACTTGACACGCTTTTTTTATTTTTAGTAAATGGAGTAGATCATGTTTAATGATGTAGACTAGAAGAAATTCATAAACATTCTATTTATACTAAACTGACTTTTCAGTGATAATAAAAGAAGAAAGTAATTCAGAGAGACGAAGTCTTTAGTTTTTTCATATAAATTGAAACGTTTGTTTGGATTTCTTGAAAACAACAAAGCAACGTGTTTTTTTTATTATGCTCGTGGATGTAACACTTGGAAGTGCTTACATGATAAAAGAAAGAAATAAAGATGGTTGAGCAAAAAACTGCATCATTAAAGCAAAACATTATACTGTATGCCACCAATATAATATGCTGAGTATCGATTTACGCTAGTAGAGACATTTAGAAAGTATATAAAGAATCAATAAAAAGAGAGTAAAAAGAAACGAAAGCGAAAGACATAAACAAAAAAGAAAATTGGATAAAGCAGTACATTTTTTCTTATTTCTGTAATTTCAATTCCCATCAATAAAAGGACAACTACTTCAAAAGAAACAATTCTTGTTGATCTATCAATTGTTGCACATGACGTGGGCAAATAAAGTGACCAAGATGATCATTTTTTCTTTTACGATCATACCATTGTAGAATCATGAGGAACGTATATCAGTCATAAACATGGTGTTTAATCTTTGTTGAATATATTTTTTAACGTAAGATTCGAGGGGGTGGGTGTTCAGAAGTGAAACTGAACAAATTTTGTGCAGAAATGAAGCAGCAGCGATGCACCAACCGAAGTCCCACTCGGAATTTTTGTTGCAATATAAGTTGTTGAGATTCCGGGAGAAGAGAGTACACGGGGAATAGCCATCCAAAATGAGGCAAAGTGTAATCAAAGAATCATTGACGAAGGGCCTTGAATAACATATTACGCCCTGACTTCAACCACTTCAATTTTCCTAGTGATCTCTGAATATTTCTTCCATGCTTTCCGACTGTCAATTTCGAAGATAGTCCATCCGTTCAAGTAAACTGCAGGTATTTAAATTCTTTGACTAATTTAATATCTTCCTCATCCATTATAACGTTGACTATTGGTCTTTTTACCTGTGTATGAAATATTTGCACTACTATTTTTGAAACGTTTATCGATCGTTTCTACTTTTTGAGTACTTAAGAGAGAGCCCACCAGAATGTCGACCACCTCTTTACGTAGAACCGGTCGACGCTAATTTGTTTTCGAGTTTTTTAGTGCAAACTAAAGATCACATCGAAAAACCTATAAACCCAAAATATCAAGTTTTTCTGACGTACTTGTGAAAAGTGCCGAAGGTCACAATCTTCGATCTTTTTTGGGGTAAACTATAAAAATTATTTAAAAAAATGCCTTTTTGCACGTTTTGATAGCTGTTTAGATTTTCTCTGACTCTGTTCATCGCTTCAAGTCGGGAGAGGTCTCAAAACATGCAAAAAAGAGTTTTCTACAAAACGGACTATTTCACTAGTCATTACAATCAACTTTAGCAATCGATTGTGCTCTCACAAGGAAGAAGGGGCCTATGGTTTATACTCATCGTTTAGCTAGTAATTTGCCTGTAACTTCATCGAATGATTCCATCTCAAAAACATTAATCCAGTTTCTGACAGTCCTCGAAATTCTGGATCTTTTGATTTCTTATTCAGTGTACAATCAGACGGTCCTCGGTTTCTAGTAGGGACCACAATTGAGAGATTATGATGACCCTTGCGAACCATTTTGACCAGCAATAGACCACTATCTAGACTACGTTTATTCCACAATAAAATCTGACTGCAGATTCATGATCAGCATAAAAAACTGAGTATAGAAATGCTACTTAGTTGAGTATACGTTTCATACAGTTGAAAAAACCATGTTGGATAAAGGTAGTCTGAGTTTATCACAGAGTTTGTATTTATAGATACCTTAGTCAATCTATCTATCTTTTTTTAAGAGAAGGCTAGACGAAGTATTTCATCTCCTCTCTTTCTACCAAGAGCTAGATAGGTTGATCAATATGAGTATAAATATATAGTCTGAGATAAATTCAAGCTATCCTTACATGATCTTATTTTTTTAATTTTATAAACGTATACCCTACAGTCAGATTTGATTGTGGAATAAACCTAGTCTAGATAGTGATCTATTACTGGTCGAAATGGCTCACAAGGACCATCATAATCTCTCAATTGTGGTTCATAGTAGAAACCGGGAGCCATCTTGTTGTATACTGAGTAATAAATCAAAAGATGCAGAATTTCAAGGACTTTCAGAAAGGTGTGGATGTGAATGAAATTACAATCCACACCCACACTCAAAAATGCTCCCATCAGTCTCTTGAATCATCAACACCTCCCGAATCCTAGCGAACTCAGGAAACATCTCTACAACAGTTTCACTTGAGTTAACTAAGAACAATACGTTTCAAGTTAAGAATTTCTGCTTCATTTATCAGCATATTTTCATTCTACCAAAAATACAAAAAATAAATTAACGCAAGCAATCAACCATTTTCACATACAAAATTGATTATATTTCGACATACAGTTTGCAAGAATTATTCTTAGAGTATGTAAAAAGATAATATGCTTGTTCTGTAGAATAATCTATGCCTATTATCAACCGCCCGTTAATAATCGATGACAGATGTAGCGAAGAAGATTACCATTGATTATAAATGTTAATTCTTCAGTTTAATATCAAGTTCGAAAATTTTATAAATCTAAGAATAATTTATTTTAACTACAAAATAGATTAATCTATTATACAAAAAATATAAAATAAAAACTTGTAGAAATATATAAACGACAAGAAAATAGAGACAAAATGTTTGAATGCAGAATAAATATAATAAAGAAAAAGCAACAATAGTTGTATGCTGATTTAATAATAAATAGTCTATTGACATGATTGAAACAATCTATGACTAAGTAATAAGAAATAAGTTGTAACATATAAACTTTATTTAGCTGTAAAATCAAGAACTATTCGACCGCTAATTCGGTAATTGAGCATGTCTTCAAAGATGTCATTGATATCTTCTAATTTTCGTTTTTGTACTTTACATTCAATTTTATGAAGTTTAGCTATTTCTAAGCATTCTTGTAAATCTTTACGTGTACCAACAACTGAGCCAACTAATTCAATACCACCAAGAACACAATCAACAATTGGTACAGCCATTTTATCATTTGGTAAACCAACAGCTACAATACGACCGCCGCGTTTAACTGATTGAAATGCTTGTTCATATGCAGCAATGATTGGCACAGCAACAACAGCTCCTTGTACACCACCAACTTTTTCTTGTATCCATTTACCATGTTGATCAGATGGACCATCAAAAACTTCTTCAGCTCCCATTTCTTTTGCTAATTGTACCGCAGTCTATCCATAAGAAAAAAAAAGGTATCGATTCTTTTTCTTCATTATAAAGTATTCAAAGCATCATACTTTATCATTTGGAGCAACAACAGCAACTACACGCATTCCCATAGCAACAGCATATTTAATAGCAACCGATCCTATGAATTAGATTTAAGATAATAATTATTTTAAAAAAAAATAATTCTTTTATTTACCAAGGCCACCTATACCAACAATTGATACCCATTCACCTGGTCGAACTTGAGAAACTTTTAATGCTTTATAAACAGTTACACCAGCACAATAGAGTGGTGCCGATTTATATGGATCCATACCCTCTGGTAATTTAACAGCAAAATTACCATCCATAAGAACATACTCAGCGAAACAACCATCAATTGAGAAGCCAGTATTAGTTTGTTGTTTACAAAGTGTTTCTCGTCCAGTTAAACAATATTCGCAATGAAGACAAGTTGCATGTAACCAAGGAACACCAATAATATCACCCTTTTTCAAATGATTACCAACCATTGAGCCTATTTCTACTATTTCACCAATACCTTCATGACCCGTAATACGTGGCAATTCCGGTTTAAAATCCCAATCTAAATGGAAAGAAAATCAGAGGTTTATATTCCTATTAAAAACAATTTCTTATTTTTTACCTCCATGAGCAAGATGTAAATCGGAGTGACATACACCACAAGCAATAGTTTTAATTAAAACATCAGTTGGTCCAGGTTTTGGAATTTCTACTTGTTTGATTTCAAGTGGTTTTTTAAAAGCTGTTATAACGGCTGCTTTCATACTTTTTATTTTAATCTGAAAAAAGAAACAAATCGTAAATTATAAACCAGAAAACCTGCATATCATTCAAACCGTACAGTG